CTCATTTCGCGATTCGGACTCATCCTATATCGTAAACAGGCCCCCTTATTTGGCGATTCCGGTTCATTATGTCGGATTCATCATATATCTTAAACACGCCCCCTCGCGATTCGGATTCATCCCATGTCTCAAACATGCCCCCTCATTTGGCGATTCCGCTTCATGAATCGGAGCCGCCAAATCAAGGAGCGTGGTGTTTAAGAATGTTTAAGATATATGATCAACCGGAATCGTGATTGGATTTGGGATGTAGTGGAGCATGTCCTGTCCTTTTCTTGCGTGCCCAGTGTGCTAGACGGGCACGACCAGAAGTGGTGGGGAAGAGGACGAGCGTGCTTCGGTGGATACGAAGGCAATAGGCCGGCCCGAGAAATTGGGAGGTACGCTCGAGGAAGCATCGCGCTCATGGCGGCGATGGAACTACAGACTGGAACTTTGGCTTGCGAGCCAGTTCCCGGAAGCTCCGGAGACGGGGGATATCCTCACCTGGGCTCGGACGCAGGATGAAGAGATCACGATCGCTGCGCTGCGGGCTCAGACGGTGACTGGGGTCACTCCCGAAAAGGTGCAGGAGATTAATTCGCCAGTTGGAAGTGGTCCTTGGAACCCTGATGGTGGATACTCCATTACTCCAGGGGATATAATGAACTCCAGCCCTGGCTCTGGGTTGGATATGTACCGCAGGCTTCATAACCGACTGGACCCAACGGATATGGTGACGTCTTTCAGGTGGCTACGGGCCTTCATGTCAACGGAAACGGTCCCAGACGTGGGGGGACTTGATCCCGGCTATTGAGCGCTGGGAGGACCAGCATCGCAGGTATGTTGCTCGTCGCGATTGCATGGCTCTGACCGAGCGGCAAAGAATGGTTTCGCTCGTGGGGCGTGTCCATCATCTTGAACTGGACGTGCCCCGGCTCGGCACCTACGAGCTTCTCCGGCGAGAGATCGTTACGTTCGCAAAGAACAAGCCAGCCTTTGCTGCAGACGATTCTGGGGACACCGACTATGCCAAGTGAAGTGGCAAGGGGAAACCGAAAGGAAAACAGGATATTAGGACCTGTCACACTTGCGGCAAGACCGGCCATCTGATGAAGGATTGCTGGCAGAACAAAGGAAAGGATAAAGGAGGTTCTCGTGGTTCCGGTGGTTACCCCAGTAAGCCCAAGGATACACCTGGAAAAGGCAAAGGAGGTGCGGCTCAAGGTGGTAGGGGCCGCGGCAGAGGTGGCAAAGGCCACGCCCCGGGAGCTTGAAGGAGAGGACGCCAGGAAGGCGTCGACGAGCCAGAGCAGGAGGCTGGAGAGGAAGCCGTTGTGTGGGTTTCGTCGGCATGCTCGAGGGCGGTGATGACCCCAAGGATGAAGAGGAAGGCCGCGACCCCAAGAAGCCTGAGAAGAGGAAGAAGTGAAGGAAGAAGTGAAAGACGAAAAAACAGAGGCCCAGGAAGGGGCCGAGGAGCGTCCAGAAGAGGATGCCAATGATGAGGGCGCCGGTTCTGGTGCGGGCTCGTCTCGAGACCCACCAGCCGGTGAGCCTGTGAGTGGCCGTGCTAGGGCCAGTGGGGTCCTGCAGGGGAACCTCTGTTTAAGAGGCAGGCCGAGCTCGGAGAAAGCCTGGCAGCGATGTCGAGCGAGCGGGCAACGAAAGCCAGCTGGAGGATGTCTGGCCCAGAAAAACAAGCGGGCCGGGAGTCTGTGCGGCACCAGGCCGACCTGGATGCCGGAAGGAACCCGAAACTGCCGAAGAGGTGGCGGAGTCTCTGAAAAGACTGGAAAGACTGGAAAGAGCTTTGAGGACAGCGCCGTGGCGACGCGCAAGAGATGCCAACCCGGTTCGGGACCCACCCAGGCGCCCGCTCGGGACGGCTTTCGAAGGCGAGAAAGCTACGAGCTCAAGCAGTAAGAAGCGGTGACCAGGTGAAGCAAGTGACAGGCAGCCCCCACAGCCAAGGAGCACCCACGTCCGGGGGCACATGGTTTAGATGTTGACGACCAGGTGTTTGGGGGATTAATTTGGCATACCCGATGAAAAGTTGAGGAAGCGAACGGCTGCCCTACAGGCACGTTGCAGAGCGCGACACGGCAGTAGTGCATGCATTTTCTTTCCTCCTTCCCGTTCCAATGGAGGAAATTTTGGTCGTAGTTAGCAGTGCCATCGACGTCACCGTCGGGCTGCAGGACGGCAATCTTCTTGTCCGAAGCATCGGCCTCCACGTTGCTGACACAAGGGTCATGGGCTATGCTGATCGTTCGAATCTCTCGATCCCAGACCCTTCAAAGGTGGCCTTCAGGTTGTACATTGCGGCCACAGGTAGTATTCGAATAAGAGTTTTGATCATGATGACTCCCGGTGTCTTTTGAGAGACGTCCCCTGAGGCGACCAGCCCCGCAAACTACAGCCTTGCCGAGACTGCGGTGCCCGCCGTCGGGGATCTTCGGCAAAAGTTCTATGGCCTGCCAGACAGCCTGACACCTAGTCCGCCAGTTGATAAACACCTTTCTCTCAGAGACCCGTTCGTTCAGGCTGCGAGGTCTTCTTGCAGGTCTTGGCCAGCAGCGTGAACCCGGCTGACCGGACGGCAGCCGGGCCCTTCCCACAGGCACCTGTACTGTGCAGTGAGGGCGGCCTTTGCTGTTGATCGCCCTTGCAGGTGATGGGTTCCGATATCGTGGCAGTTGTGGAGGCTGTTCAGCCAAGCTGCAGACGCCTAAACGTGGGAGTGCCTAGGCGTTTAAACTCAAGATGCGGGTGCCTGGAGTTCTTCGCAGTCGCTTCGTTGAGTCGGGTACAATGCGTGTCATCTCGGAGTGCGCGCCACGGGCGACCATCTTCGCAGGAGAGGAAAGCAAGGTCTAAGGCATGCCGTGGCTCCTATGGGCCTCTCGGGCCATGGAGGCCACGTTAGCTGTGCACCGCACTCTGCGAGCTGCTTCCGCTGCCCCACGTCCCGCGATTGTCTTTCTAGATTTCTAGGTTCCTGGAAATCAGTCATGAGCCTTCCCCCAAAATCGCTCCCAACCTTGGAAGACATGTGTAGGAGTCCTTTGTCGGAAGATTGGTCGCCTGAGGACCGCGTCTGGGCCGACATCGGAGCCGTTGTGGAAACAACAAAAGGTAGAAAGGGCAAGGAGACCTTTGGCTGAAGAAACAAGTGCGGGTTGCGCCTTTTGCAGTGCCGCAGTGCCTTCAAAGGAATGGTGCCTTTGCGCCTTTCGCAGGGTCCCAAGTTTCAACTATTCTGCACTCGTACCGCTGCGAGCTCGTGTTGTAGGGCTCTCTTGCAGGCTGTGGCTCTGGAGTCGCAGCTGGGCGCCATGCCCAAAAACGTCTCGGCCCAGAGCCCAGCCGCATCGTGTGAGGCGAGCGACTTCGTAAAAGTCACCAAAGCTTGCACAGAAGGGCATTTACAGCCACTGCGACGATGCGCCACAGCAACTTTCCCAGGTTTTGGAAGCTGCGGCGCTGCCAAAGGCCAAAGTGATGGAGTCCGTTGCAGTTGTGCTGCCATGTTCCGTGGGAACTGAGGTGTCTTTGACGTCGTACAAGGCCCTGAAATGGTATGGCGGCGCTCCGTATGGGCAAGACGTGACGGTTTTAATCCTGGGTGGCAGTGGCGGCTGTGGCAGCACGGGGATACAGTTGGCCAAGGTGCTGCGGGATGCACGTTAGTTCTAGGCCGTGGTTTATCACTTTCGAGCAAACATTTCATCTACTTAGTATAGTCAAGTCGTAAGCAGGACAACCATTCGCAACTTGTGCGTTTCCAGAAGAGCTGTGGCTAGCTTCCTTGGAACACAACAGGATATTGGCGTGGATGTGATGGCTTGCATTTCGGGCAGTTTGCAGTCTGCGCCGTGCATTTGCATTTTCATGAAAATGGCAGAGGAATTCCAAGCCTTTTCCAGAGAGAGTGTTGCGAGATGGTGTTGTGAATTTCGATTGTTTCTAAGTGCCTGTAGCGGCTGCGGAGTTGCACCCCTCGTGAGTTTGCCTTCTGCGAAGCGGACAAGTGCGGGGATCTTATCACAGTAAGCCTGTTGGTATGTTCACAAATGCAGGCATGGGGCGCCACCACGATCATCACCACCACGTCTGTGGCGAATGAACTATATGTGCGACGATTGGGAGCAGATCGTGTTATCGACTACACGACGCAAAACTGGTGGGAGGCACGTATAGACTCTCGTGGCGACAGATCGAAAACTCGCCGTGAAGCAGTTCATGTCGAAGAGGATGCACGCAATTGGAGTTTGAGCCTGGTCAGGGCTTGTTGATGCTTTCAGGTCCTATCTGAAGGAACCGTGGATGTCGTTTACGACACGGCCGGCGAAGCCGGAACGGGGGACAGGGCGATGGCTTTGTTGCGTCAAGGAGCTCAACAATGCACATGAACTGTGACTGATATGTGAGAGGTGCGTGAGAAGTAAATCTGGCTACTTCAGCCTTGCCTCCATATCGAGGAGGCTACTTTGTCACCATCGCCGGGGCCCTCCCTCAGAAGCCACGAGCCGACATCAGGAGCTCCACTTTCATCAACTCAGCAACAAATCTTCAGAACTTTCAGCTTCTTGGTCCGGACAGCAAGCTGCAAACACCTGCAAACCGTGTGTGTATGTCGCCAAGCGCGGACGTTCACAGACATGGCTCAGGCTCCTTGACGAGCTGCGAGATTTGGTGGACCGTGGGCACTTGCGAATGCCAGAGCTCCAGACCTTCCAGCTGGCAGACATCCTGAAAGCTTTTGACGCTTCGGCCCCTTGGCAGCCCTGGGGGGTTTTGGGGCCCGATCGGCTGAGCTTTTTGGAAGCCGAGGCCGCTCACCATGTGCGCGGCAAGCTTGTCATTCAGATGCCCGCGGCGAGGAATCTCACGCTGAGAGAGTTTCTCTCCTGATCCGTTCGGCATCATGCTTCGCGAAACAACCGTCTGAAGGGAGCGGCAGTGTATGTTTGAGCCGACTCTACACTGCATGGCTCAGCCCCTCTCGCGGCGAAGGCCCGAAACAACGTCACAGAAGCGGCCCGGCCACTCTTTTCCATGAGGAGCCCTCCGAAAGTCTTTGGCTGCCGAATGCCTCAAAGGCAAAGGCAAAAGGGGGAAGGCCGGGCAAGAGAGTCGCCCGGAGATCTGCACCCGAGCCCGTTGTGTTTTGGACACCCGATTCCCTGTTACCGCGCACAGTGCTAAACGCAAGGGCTGCCCTGAATAACTTCGCCATCCAGAGGCTCCAGTCTTTTGTCCCACCTGTTCGCGTTGTCGATGGGCAATTCCGCTGAGTCTCTAACGGGGCTGAGCTCCTGACCCGAGCTAAGCCTGCCCGGCGAAGGCTTGCAATTGGTCGGACGCGCTTGAACAGGCTATAGAGCTTGCAGAAACAAAGAGAGGCTGTCGGTCGGTGTCGAGCGATTGCTCCTTGCAAAATTGTACTGTACTAACCCCGAGCCGTGTGGGCGGAAAGTGCGCCCCCTTGCATCACAGATGGTCTTCACGGACGGCAGCGTCTACAGGCGCGCGCAAGCGCTGAGCAAGTAACGCTGCGCTGTACTGTAAAAAGTGTGTGTGTGTGTGTGCGCACTTTTTGGCTTCGCGGCCCGGGGCCCAGGGGGGTTCGAAGGGCGCGGTGCGCGGCTCTTGGCAGGGGGAAGTTCGAGAAGAACCGTCGCCACGGACACGGGCATTACAGGCCCAAATAGAAGAAAAGGGGCACCAAGTGTGCTGGTGAGAGAATCCGCCTTACAGCCGCACAGCCGGTGGAAGATCGCGCTCTGTCAGGAACCAAGATGGCAGCCGTGGCCTCGGTGCTCGATGTCACACAGAGAGAAGGGGGAGCGCTCTCGCCGTTGTCAGCCCCCATCTACACGGGCCCGTGGAAGAACGACGAGCCGGGCACGGGCTACGCCGACATCCTCTACCCCTCGGGCCACCGCTACAAGGGCAAGGTCTGCGACGGCTGCCGAGACGGCAAAGGCTCTTTGTGGCACCAGGGCCCGGGTCTCAGAGCCCAGGGAGAGCCGGTGCGCGTCGGCTGCGCGTCGCAGCGCTCTCTGAGACTCGGATGGCGATTCCACCTTCCTCTACTGCGGCCACTGGGAGGAGAGGGAGAGCCAGAAGCGTGGCCCCGCCCTCCTTCGCACACGCTTGAGAAGCCGCAGAGGCAGACGAGATGCACGGTGAGGGCGAGCTGCATTGCAGCGATGGCGTGTACCGTGGCCAGTTCGTGTGATCATCTCAGATGCTACGGAGAGGACCTCTACTGCAGAGCACGCGACGCAGCTGAGGAACGGTCTTCGGGAGGGCAAGGGCAGGTTTGAGTATGCGCGAAGCAAGGCGCCTTTGCCCGAAACAGATAGAGAAGTGCTGTCACGAGACAATGAGGACACTCTGAGTTACTATGACGGCGAGTGGGAAGAGGCGGGTCCAATAGGAGTTTATTTTCTGCCGTGTCTCTTCCATTCGATTCCCCAGGATCAGCCGCAGGGCACTGGCACCTTCGTCGATGAACACGGCCAGGAGTTCTGCGTCCGTCGCTCAGAGCTCCGAGCCTGGGCCGCGTCTTCTTCGTTAGCGCAAAGAGCAAGGACCGGGAGTTCGAGCAGGGGGACCTGATCGGAAGCCGCCTCACCGGGAGGTGCCCGGGGAGGAGTCTTGGGGGAGAGGGAGTTTCACCCAACTTGCGGGCCACCCTTGCTGCATGTCTCGTCTATTGGGGCGACAAATCAAGCTTCGTGAAAGCTGCGGTGCCTAAGCCGTTCTTGCGAGAAGGGATTCTTTGGCTGTCTTGAGGGTAAAGACCTCATGTGCCGGAGGGCGCCTGCCAACAAAAACCCGTGCCTCGGAGGGCGGCCTTCTGAAAGCGCGGTTTACTCGGCAGCTTTCCGAAGGAATTTCGTTTGAAGCGTCCATGTGCAGACATCGGAAGAACGACTCGGCGATTCGAGGCAATGTCTAACGTCTTCGCTGATCCGTGACCTGCGATCTTGTTGGCCAGTTCTACCGCTTGATGGCTTCTCTTCTCGAGACTAGTTCGTCGGTGAAGATCCGATCTGACGCAGTTGACTGTTTGCATCAAGGTCGAAGTCTTGTGCGGCGTGATGCGCACCGTTGCTCCGCAGGTCCAAGCGCATCTTCTCGGTGAAGACCATCTCCTCGGTGTCCTTGTCGCTCTCGAAGCCGGATAGGGGAGTCAAAGATACAGTAGTTGTCAGAATCACAGAAGTGCTATCTGCAGGCAGAAGCCGTCTTCCAGCAAAGTTCTTCCAGGAGAAGCCAAGCGCACCTTGTCTGTAGGATGTGCAGGGAGCTTGTGGCACACAGGACCCAAGAAGGAGATCCCTCATGCCGGCACAGTCTGCCAAAATGCCGGCCTGCTTCCGGAGGAGGACATGACATGCACGAAAAACTAGCCGACCTTGGCCAACGCGCTGAAAGGAACCTGCCCAGACGCGAGTGATCGACGTGGGAAGTGGTGTCAGCAATGCACGCAGCCGCCCGGCCCACTGCGGGCCCGAAGACGCATCTCGTCTACTGGCTTCAGGGAGGCAACGCTGAACATAGAAGAGGCTTCAATAGGGACGGAGAAGCATGAACACATTCGTTTAACGGGCGATTCATATTATCACCGATGCAGCTTTGCCGAGTCCATTGGTCTGCGTTGGGCATGAGCAGAAGTGAGCAGAAGTGAACCGGTCAGATGTCTTCTCAGATGGCGTGGCTTCCTTTGTACATAGCCGCGACTGGCCTCCGGAAGCCGCGCTAAAGCTTTCATCTTGTTTCATGCTAGGGATGAAGCACGTCCATAGCAGAGCTTGCACAGATACAGACACAATTCAGTTCTTGGCTTGGGGTCCTCGCTTTGCAGTTGTTTCCGCGGTCGCACACCCTGGCAAGGATAAGGCCCCCCCCCCAAGAGCATGCTCTAGATATCTCACCATCCCAGCTGCTTTGAAAAACCGCTCGGAGTGCGGCTGCCGAACAGCACTACTGTAGCTCACCACAGCGACTCCGGAGCGGCTTTGTCGCCCCAGTTTAGGAGCATACCCCACGGTGCAGACAAGCTTCTGCTTCTGGAATCTCGGCTGCTGTGCTTCTCATGTAGTCCTGGGTGCACGGGGCTCACTCCGTGATCACCCCCACTTTCACAGGCAGCAGCCACAACATCCCGACGAGATCAGCCACAACATGCCCGACGAGACTGGCCACAACGTTAGCCCAGGGGGACAAGATCTACCTGGCCAGGATTTGTATGAAGACCTTGAGCCGTGGCATTTCCTGTCCGTTACCGAGACAAGCAAATGCCAAAAACAGATGAATGCTGACAGGAGCTTTACAAGAAGAGCGCCCACGCTCCTCACCTTTGCTGCCCTGCTTTACGAGCTCCAAACGAGGAGGAGCCCTCCTGTGCCCTGCCCCGGCACCTCTGCACCTCTGCAGCGTCACTCGCTGCGACGAATCGGGAACAAACACAAGTAGTCACGGAGACTTCCCGTCGCGGCCTAAGCGACAGCAAGTCCCGAATCACAGCGAAAGGCTCAAGGAGACATCAAGTTCGTGCTGCCTTTTTCTAAGTGCGGCCAGCCCACTTGCATCAATCCTGCCAGAGATCCCTGGCTCGAGGAACTTCAACAAACCCGTACACATCTTGCCTGCAAACCCCGGGTGCTTCAGCCTTGCTGAGGAAAGCCTCCATCTTGAGTTAACTAGGCACTCCCGGACCAAAGGCAACCCTCGGGATCCCACTTGGCCGGTACCGGTAGAGCTCATGATCCGGAGAGCATGCCTCGGTCCTTCAAGGATACCGCCTTTTTTTCGATTGCCACTTTGTGACGTGGGCGTCGTCGAAGTAAAAACGACGTCATGGCATACACCAACCGACGCCCCACTGATTCCGTGAATGTGGCCAACAAAAAAGGCCACGTGGATTTGGTAGGCTGGCATAGCCCAGCCTTTATGCCACCAAAGCACCGCACAGACCAACCTCGCCGCCAGGGCCTGCTCCCTCGCAGAGGGCCTGCTCCCTCGCAGCACCGCTGGGGGGAAAGGAACAAGGCGATGGACATCATTGCTAGGCACCGATTGGCCTCCTTTAACACCGTTGTCCTATCACTCTTTGCTTTTTCTGAACTCTGCACAAAGCGCAGTTGCCAGATGCTTGGTTCAGAAGGATAAGGCCAGAAAAAGACCGGCGGTTGGGAAACCCGACCGAAGCATCGGGGCATGGCCATCGCGATGGGCCATGCCATGGAACCTGGGCAGTCAGGAGCCCGGGGCGGCGCTCCCTGAACGGTATGAGCCCCAACTTCGCTCACGTCACGTCCGAGGTACGAAGGCATGATCGCTAAGGCGCAAAGTGGGTTTGCGCCTTATGAAGCGGTGCCGAAATGGAGCGTCTGTGACCGTCCTCCGTCAGCCCCAGGTCTGCGACTTCTGCCTTTCGGATGCATGGAAAAGAGAGACGCGTAGTATAGTGGGAGGGGCCCGTATGTGTGTGTGTGTGTGTGCACATGGGAGGCAGCAGAGCTCCTCCAGTTTATGAGGCCTGGGGGGCTGGTTGGGGGGGGGGGGGGGGG